CGAAATGCTAAATAAGTCTGGTATTTCTAACGAGGAAAACAAGTGAAGTGCTCCAACCCCCCCCGCCCCGCCCCCTTCTCTGAATATGGTTTACACAGCGGGAAAAATAGTTGTAGACCGCGGTCTTTTGCACCCGCCAGGACATTGAACTTGAAGCATTGTTTTCCACAGTATCGCGTGTTATTGTCACAACTGTTTGAAACCGGATATATCATCACCTGTCCAGCTAGTATGTCCAACTCTCCACCTGATTGGTTGTCCAAGGTGTTTACCAAAGTATGCTGTCTAAAGCAGCTTGGGGATTTGCCAGTAACGTGACGCAGTAACTTTTTAGCCGCTCAACACTAAGAGAAAAGGGGCGTCTTCAGTGGCGTTGCATGACAAAAGTAAGAGTTTTGTGTTTTACAGTTTAATTTTCCATAGCCCCCCCCCCCTTTGTAAGTGTGCTTCGGTGGGTAAGGAGGGGGATAGGTAAACTGTAGGCTACCAGGCCGCTGATTCACTGAAGACATAAGCAGGCACTGCTGGCTAGACAAGTATTTATGTCTAGAAATCCTCACCGCTCTTACACCCTGAAAAAGTTGGTTTCCAGCAAGATGTTATGGTGCTTTTATGTAGATCTTTGGTCTACTGCAAATGATTCTTCAATCAGGCTGAACATTTGAATGTTTTTTTCTTGAAAACTATCAATGATAACAAACATATATTTCCAGCAGTAAAACTAACAGCAATGGCAGCACAACAAGACTGGCTTAACGCGTTCAACACGGAGATCTGCAAAGATTTCGACGAAAAATGGATCCTAAGCGAGGTTGAGGACTTACCCAACGATCAGGGGTGGCGACGGTTCACCGACAAAGCCAAGGTTAGATTTAAGTACATGGATTTCAATGAATATTATCTAACGTTAACTGTACCTAACGTTAAATGCCGTCTGAAAATGGCCTCTCTCCGGGTAGCCACAGAAACTTACTAATAGGAGAAAACGTGTTTAGCACTTAACAGCATTTTAGCATAGCCCTTGACTGTTTTGGACGATAAAGACAGATCCGTCTACGAACGTGCCCGAGGGACAATACGAACATCCGAGCTAGTGATTTACCTTTGTTTACCTTTTAGTTTCCGACCATTGAAGATATTGTTGTCGCCTTAACACAGGTGAAGTTCAAATGCAGTCATTGTGACAACAAGTGGACATCGCTAAAGGGGCAAGTCATCTTCCTCTACCGCTTAAAACCAAAGAGGAAGAAAGGTGAAGTGAAAATGTTCCTACCAGGGCAGATGTGCCGCTATTGTGATGAAGATTTCGAGTCTCCCAAGTGGTACAATAAAGAGATGCTGAAGGTGCTGGGAAATCTCCAACAGATGATCGACTGGAAGCTCTACGGTGGAGATCGTCCGGAGAGGCTGAACAAGGGCCAGAGAGGGGGCCGCATGAGGAGCCGCCACGAGAGTGACAAGTGCCAAGCATGTCGGATGGGCATTTGTGGAAAGTCGGACACTAATTAGGGACTGAATGCCTCTCCATAAAGGATGGCAGGCAGGCAGTATATCCATGAGCCATCACACTACAGTTTTTTTAGTATAAGCCCCATAAAGCAGCTTGTTTGCGGGTGAGTGGATTTGATGGTTCGTAGCAACTTCCTATGCTCTGAGAACCGATTCAGAAGTTGTTGTTGTTTTGGTGTACCTTTTATTCTGAACACGCTATACTTGATCTGTATCTGTATGGCGGGTATAACCGCCTTTCGGCGTAACACACCAGCTTCGCAGGCACGCGGCGCGGCGGCAGCGGGCTACATTACACCGAACGACCTGTTACACCTAACCCTTGAACATCGATCTAACTCTAAACACTGTTTAAAGCTACCTAATGATAATGCCCCTACTGTACAATGTATTTGATAATAGCTTGTGTGGTTCATGGAGTGATACAACGGCTCCCTATAGCAGCTTTCGTCTGAACTGATGCGCTTTTTTTATGAGTTTAAACATCTGAAAAAAGTAATGGATGGATTTTCATGCGTTTCTGCTTGTGTGTTGCGATAGGAAACCTTTGTTTACTTTAGGGGATCTGGAAATGAGTTGAATTTACATGAGGAATATAGGATTGGATTTTTCTTTTACGGGAAAACTCACATGTACCCAATAATTATTGACTAACTGCTTGCCAGCAGTATCTTGTTGATACCATATGACTGTTCTGTGCTTGCTAATTGATATAGATTTTATGAGTGCCTCACGGTTGGTGATGGATTTTATCTACTGTATTAGCATACCTGTAGAACAGCAGCATTAGATGCTACAGATGCCTGTATTTTTTATGCCTTAAGAAACACTAACATTCTGGTTATGGTTCACATATGGGGCGGTGTGTCAAAGGTATTGACGTGTTTCTTTTGTACAAAGGAAACAAATAAAAGTCAACAATAGTAGGTTAAGTTGTTTTCTCTATTTATTCATGCTTTCTTTTGCCCAGATGGCTTATTTGGTTTTTAAGGATTATTTTTTTTTGACACTGTTACATGTACAACACAAAAACCGTCACTGTGAACACACTTGAACATTAGAAACCATCACTGAACTCACTGGACCCTTTCTCAGGTGTCACAAGCTCTTGATCTTGGAAAGTTCCCCGTAAATTCTGTTGTTATAACATAGCAGAATAGAGAGTTATATGTTAGCTTAGCAACTCTAACAGTTGTTAAGCTATGTTAATAATCTGAGTCCAGCAAACAGAGAGGGTCTGCGTTGATGAGTAATGAACCAGGAAGTGGTCAATGGTCAGAGCTTTCCAAGAAACGGGAAGAAGTGAGAGCAAAGACAGGACGTGACTCAGAGTGGTCATCTCATGGGTGGCACGCCCCCTGGAGGGGGGAGTATTTAGGCGAAGCAAAAGGATGCAAGTCATCATTCCAGCCAGACCAGCAATATGGGACAGAGTTCAGGGAAATTCTACCATGTTACAGAGTTCAGAAATTTTCCCAGTCCCACCCACCCTCATAAAAGAATTTGTTGTGTAGACTAGTTACACAAGGTAGACTAGTTGACAGTATATATATATTTGCTCTGTTTGGATGACAATAACCTAGTTTAGTTACAAGTCAGGATGCGTTAAACATCCGCTGGACAGAGCATTGGTTTAACCGACCAGCCCGATTTTGGCAAAAACAATTGGCAACCAGGGTAAAACAGGTCGCCAGCTCGCAGCATGACTTGCCTAGTAGAGAGGAGGGACCTTGTATTAGACTGATGTATAAGAATGTGTAAGAGACGATGACAACAGTATGTTTCAAGGTAACAGAGTTCTGAATGTAATCGTAATCGAACAGAATTCGGCAATGTTTGGCCAACAGTTTGACACTTTCACATTTGTATCTTGAAGCATTTTTAGAAGTAAAAGCAAGGTCCCCAAGAAGTTTTTAAGTGTTTGGAATCATA